TATGAGTTGGAACTGATGCTGAGGTTCCAGCCAGTCCTAGCAAAAGAAAATCTTTTGTTTTAGTTTCAGTAATATGGGCAAAGTGGAAAGCTGCCACCTTTCCCATATAGCCATTCTGCTTTACCTTCCACACACCTTCACCATCCACCATCATTTTCATGCAACAGACTGAACCTACATATAGGACTATAAAGGTGCCAAAAATGTTACAAATAAAAAGAAAAAGCAAGCTTATCTATGTATCTCATGTCACTGCAGCACCCAGACATCACCGTGGTGAGAAGCACTTCTATCACACAAGCTGAACCAGCGGGCCCAGCTAACCTATTGATGTCAGTAATGAGGCTTCACTGTATAATTCACTTGCTGCTCCACAGATCTGCATCGCCACTAAAACTCAACCGCCTCTGGACTGGAAGTCATCAAGTGACTCATGTCTTGCTGCACAACGGTTGCTGTGGAACATAATTATAGTCAAGAACTCTGCAACAAACCACTACTCTTAGGAAAAAGCACAGCGGTGCTTTAATGTCCTCACAGAGCAGACGGGGACTGGGAGTCCGGCCCTGCAAGCCTGACTAAGCATATTGGTAAGGCTGTGAGCCACACCATGAAGCTTCCTGGCACCGTGCGGGCAGAAAGTATGACAGTGAGTTGTGAGGAGCTGAATTCACACTTAGAGCATGGCTCGTTGGCACTGTGGAGCCACAGGTACAACTGTAATTCACACACACTCGGAAGGCCCTTTCCCTTTGCCAGACTGGTAACAGGATAAACAGGACTCAGGATCCAGGGCTTGAAAGAATGAACCATTGTTTTTCTTAAGACCATGTTTAAAAAAAAAATAATAATAATCCCCCTATGTTTTTCTCCTGTGCTTTGCATGCTAGTCAGAATGCACTTTCCTGGGAAATGCATTACAATAACAGGCAATGTTTAGCATCACATTTGAAGTGAGCACATCCCAGTGATTAAAATCCAGGCAACCGAAATAAACACATCAGCAGGACATGCTGCATAGTACTGAACTGGGACTTCTTGGGTTTATGACTTTCTTGAACGTTAAATACTGTGTGAGAAAAACATTGCTCAAACTTAACCATCTGTATTTGGTTTCTTTTGAGTGCATTACAGTCACCAGTAATCAATTTAAGCCTAAAATCAGAAAACCTGCTTGCACTTGTGGGAGACTAATTGTGGCAGTAAAAGGTGGCTTATGTAGCAATAGAATTGTTTCATTCGTTTTTTTAAGTGAACTTATTAGAAACTTGTTTTTAAATGGGCAACTCCACGTTAAAGTGGCACAGTTCATTGTGTTAACCTAAGAGAAACCTGTTCCCCTGTAAACAGTTTTATAGATAACAATTTTGTTTTCCACATTTCAGAGTGGGAGGAAAGGTTTAAATTATTAACATTTTCAAAGCTAAAGACCTAGAGCAAAGCAAAAAAAAAAAAGAAAAAAGGAAATTGGTTGAGTTCAAGGCCAACATTTGGCTTTGACAACTTCAAAACATATTTTCAATGCAACTTAATAGGTTAATTTTCAAAACAAAAAGTAATTTTGAATGAGAAAGCTATTCTGACAGTTCCAAAACTTTATTTCCATAATAGTTTTCAACTCAAGATATTTGTGAATGCCAACCCTTTCCCACAAACAGTCTCAATTTCTGTGAATCAGCATGTTCTGTCTTTGAGCACTTTATTACCAGCCCAACACAAAGGGGACCACCTCATGAGACCTCTTCTCCGAGAGCCTGTTGCTCTTGCACTCTCCTGGGAGCTGCCACTGCAGTGAGGGTGCTGGGTTTGGCTTCTGCCCCTCACTGAGCGATGACACCCTGCTGCCAGCTGTGGCTCTCAGCAGAAGTCATCTGTCTGTCTCTCCAGCCAAATGCCAGAAGAAAACAGAGGGGAAGAGCATAAAGAGGTAATAGAAATGCTGCACCTGCAAGCATCACCTTGTAACTACATCTGGAGTAAAGCTTCAGACCCCTAGAAAATTCACATGGAGAAGATCAGCATGAAGAGGAAGAAGCTGGCCATGTCATCTGCAGCTCCTTGAGATCTCACAGCCCCCTGTATGGGAGTGCAGTAGTAGCCATCAAGACACTTGGTGGTGCCACAATTATATTTTAATTGTCCACACTGAAAAGCACTGAAATAGTCTCACTCATCATTTGTCTCACCTCACCAATCAATGTAATTCTGGCTTCCAGCTCATTCTCCGGCCATCTCTGGCCAAGTCCATGGTCACAGGGTGTCTGTTACCCCAGATATGTCACCTCGTGGCTCCCCAGCCTTAGCCTCAGCACAGACCCCTCAGCAGTCCTGCTTACAGCATCCCAGGGATCCTCTCATTCTCCCAGTTCCTTATTCCCCATACCAGCATTAGCAGCTGCTCTCATTGGTCTTGAGTTCTACTCACAGAAATCCCATCCCAACCAGAGTCTGCAAAAAACTGCCTTAATCCAGGGTTAAACTTCCTGCTCTACACATTAGATCTACTTGGGTGCTGATCAAGTGACTAGCTGGCTGGACATGCAAGTGTCATTCTGCAGTTTTAGCAGGTTAACCAGTTGAGGCCATACAAAGCAAAAGGCAAGCAGGAGATAGACACCTGTGTACCAAACAGGATAAAATCAAAACTTAGTTTCTAAACTGCATGCAGAAAGGCTGCCCACACCATCCCTCTCTTCCTTCTTCTAGCAGTCTTGGCATTTTGGGTTTTCTGTGTGACTTGGGTGATGAAAGCCATCCAACCTTTGGCCTTATGCCTTAGAACTCCACCCAAGGCATGTTGTAATTCCCTAGAAATGCACTGTTTGTCCTGTTTTTATTGTTTAATTACACTCTGGATTTACTTTGATACGTGTCTGTTTCTTGACTAGCTACATGTGAGGTTTTGTGCCCCTGAAGGAAAGACTGGAGCACAGATGCCCTGCAGCCTTTGCTGTTACCAGGATTGCGGTGCTCAACACCTGTCCTCTTCTATTTGACAGCCTTGCTAAGGGGAAAGCTAAGGTCCTACCACTAAGGAGAAGCGAGTCCCTACCAATTTGCCAAAGCAAAGTCTACTTTGTTCATACCTCAGACTGGACAACATTAGCACATCACATTGTACAACCCCAGAGTCCCAAGTATGAGTTATACTTTATAACACCTTGGTAATTGCTTAAACAAAAAGAAGTGAACAATGGAAGCAACTGAGCACTTCTTGGAAATGCTATCCTTTTGATGCAAGCAGGGAGTATTTTTCTTCATAGATATTTATTCTAAGAAGTGACATCAGCAGACACCAAATTGAATGAACACATCTAAGACGTTAATCAGAAAAAAAGGGGGGGGGGGGAAGATGAAAAAAGATGACTGATTTGGTCAGTCATTCCAGGTCTAGACCTCACCTGGAGTATTGTGTGCAGTTCTGGTGCCCTCAACATAAAAAGGACATGGAACTGTTGGAACAAGTCCAGGGGAGGGCCACGAGGATGATCAGGGGACTGGAGCACCTCCCGTATGAAGATAGGCTGAGAAAGTTGGGGCTGTTCAGCCTGGAGAAGGCTGCATGGAGACCTCATAGCAGCCTTCCAGTATCTGAAGGGGGCCTATAGGGATGCTGGGGAGGGACTCTTCATAGGGACTGTAGTGATAGGACAAGGCATAACAGGTTAAAATTTAAACAGGGGAAGTTTAGATTGGATATAAGGAAGAAGTTCTTTACTGTAAGGGTGGTGAGGCACTGGAATAGGTTGCCCAGGGAGGTTGTGAATGCTCCATCCCTGGTGGTGTGCAAGGCCAGGTTGGACAAAGCCTTGGGTGGTATGGTTTAGTGTGAGGTGTCCCTGCCCATGGCAGGGGGGTTGGAACTTGATGACCTTAAGGTCCTTTCCAACCCTAACTATTCTATGATTCTATGACATTTGTGCTTTACAGTCCTTGGAACAGAGTAAAAGCAGAGCAGCCTCATTTCTCAAGGCTTGGTGTAGCTGAGCACACACAGAAATCTGTGGTGATACTAGACAAGGCTGACAAGGTAGCATCCATTAGGAGGATAATTATTTCCATATCAAGAATTCCAAGGTCATTATTCATATAAATTTCCATGGAAGTCAGTTGAGCAAAAGTTTGAAGAATTCCCCCCAAAATACAGAAGTATCATAAGGGTATTTACAGTAAATTGCAAAATATAATCAAAGCTGTGTGGTATGTTCTAGAATCACTTTCATTCTTAATAGCCATGCTGATCTAATTTTTCTTTGCTCTAGTTTGATCAGTTGCAAGAAATGTCTTACCTAGCTGAGAAATCCTTTCAAATAGGAAACTGCACTTTCAGAAGTGCATAAGGAAGGAGGAATAACAGCAGGCCCTCTCTGCAATCAACTCTTACCTCCTTCCCTTTCAGAGAAGGGAATTTGCCATTTGGAGCAAGCAAAGTCTTTTTGTTGCCTGATTCTGAGTCCCAGTTGACCAGTATTTCCCAAAACACTGCTGTCTGAGAGTTGCATGTTAGGCATCTAGACATTCAACAATAACAGAATTCTTTCTCTTTTGGCAGAGCTTGTCTCAGTTTGGAAACTTTCAGCCTGAGCTTGATGTCACTTACAGCAGTCAATGTGCCCATCCAAAAAAAAAATAATGCTAAGTCAATAGAGTTACTTCAATTTCTGCTAAGGCAACAGACATGGCTATGTGTTTCCAAAACTTCTGGTAGTCCATGGGTAACAAGCAAGTGATACAGATTTCATTATATCTATCTGCATATATAGATATAATATACATGCTTATTTAGTTTAACTGATCCTTCTATTCAGGATTAAATTTGTGTAACAGTCAGATCTCAAGTACTGGGAAGGCCAGTTGTCCTCATTTCTGCCAGAAGCCTATAGAATCCCTGCTCACATTAAGGAAATAATAACCTAGCCCTTTTGGCTAACAGAAATCCTTCTGAGTGTTAAATTGCCAAACGTGAACCAGAATACTTTTGTGAGTGTCCAGTAAGAGAAGCTGAAACAATAACTGACAGGGTGTCTCTCCTATGTTAATTGTTAACTCAAAGGACTGCCCTAGGACATTGAAAATGCCCCTGCTGTTAACTGTTTATTGCAGAGGAAGGAGGGGGAGACATGATCCTGCCTCTTCAGATCCCAGAAAGCATGGATTGCAAAACGAAAGCTAAGGTAACTCTTAATAAAATCCTGGCTAATACACATGACATTTGAGTGACTCTACCCCCCTCACAAGAAAAATTACCAGTTTTTCACCTTGCATCTTCTTTCTCTTTGATCTCTAATAAAAATTAACATTGAAATAGTCTGTCTTTAAATTAAGGATTTGTACGTGAAATGTCACTTGCTAGAAACAGATTTTTAGGGTTAGTCTGTAACCTCTAATATAAAACATTATTAAAAATCACCCCGTATATTGCATGTCAAAAAATCCTAAGGATGTTTGCCCATTCAATGGTCACAACTTTACATGCTAGGAGATATTGAAGTGGCTCCATAATTACTGCAGGCTGCTCACAAGGCTGTTTTCCTAACAGCCTGATGTTTCTTAGAAGTTACGGTATGACACATCAATCATGACACTTTTAAGTATAGCCAGCTTACAGAATCTGTGAATCCCACAGCTGCAAGGGCTTGGAGAAGCAATTTGCAAAGTCATTTCAAAAAACTTGAGGGGAAAAGTTTCATGTAGACATTTTGATGCTTTTATCACCCTTTGAGCCTGCTTTTTTTATATTGGATTAACTTCCTATGAAATTAGTCAACATTTAAGTAAATGAACATCTGCTTACTTACAAATGGTTACGAACAACAGGAAATCTATCCTGTATTTAAACAAAGTCAGGGGTGGTTTCTGTTTAGTTGTCTGTCACCTTCCTATTCATTCCTAAAATTTATTTATCTTTTTGACTAGTTGTGAGCCAAAGTTTGCATAGACCTGCCTGCAATTATTCCAAGCTCTCTTCCCTGAGCAGTAACAGCTAATGAGGAGTCTAGCATTGAACAACATGCAGAGGCAGCTGGTTTTCCTCCCTAAATAGATTATTTTGGGTTTATTAACATAAAATTCCATCTGCCACTTCATCTTTCAGCCATTAAGTGTTGCGACCTTTTTCTACTGCCCTGCAAAGGACTTTCCTGCTTGAATAAGCCTACCTTGCCCTTCATCTTCTCATAAATACACCGATATAGGCCCATGTACACAGACTAACCCAGTAAGGCTTTAGTGGAAAAATCCTCTTATTCTGCAAACTTAACTTTTTATTTCTCATATCCTTCTCAGAAGGAAACCTTCCCACTTACTGAACAATATCATAATTTTATAAGAGGAGTGGTGATGGCAGTGGGTCATGTTTCTTGGAGAGACAGCACATAGTATCCAACCACCCTAAGTTGACTTCTTCAGAAAAATCAGTAGAATAGTGGAGCAGGGCTACAAAACCACAGTGGCAATTTTTCATGATCCATATCCCTCTGCCTCCTCCCCTCATCTTCATTACTTAGCTTCTAACAGTCTGCCTGCCACAAAGTCAAAATCTAGGCTGGCAATACAAACAGCCACTTCGGTTAATAATTTGGCAATTTTGTAATTGTGTCATTTAAATTCATAGGTAAGCAGCATCTGTCCTCAGAATTCCATAAAGATTGTGTAATACTCAGCCTACAACTATTCTGCCTCAATTTTAATATATTTCCTTGCCCCACCTCCTGCAAAAAGAAAAAAGTTGTAGTAGCAGCTCTACGTTCCTCCACACTGAGTATCAGTATAATGCTATAACATTTCTTCCATATAACATTTCTTCCATCTTCTAATGTGCTTGAAATAGAAGAGGTAATTTATTTGCTTTTATGTCTTTTGCAATTTTCTTCAAAATCTTTTTGGCGTACCTTACTATGGTTTGACATGCATCTTGTGAAAATGCGCTCTCTTTTGTATATTCCTTATTTGGAATGACTTCCACATACTAAGTCATGTCTTTTTATTTCTTTTATTCTCTCCTAATCTGTTTAGGAATGAATTTTCACAGAGAAAATTCACACTACCTATCAGAAAGTCCCTAATACCACCCCTTATACTTCATGGCACTTTAAGAAATTCAGCATCTTGGTGGGTTTAATTTTATTTGAAAGGGGCTTCCTCAGTTTTATCTAACAGCTCTATGGCTCTTTCACTCCCAAAAGAACATTGAGCTTCAGTATATGCTGATTGCTACTGTAGAGTCTCTTTGATAGTTCTTTTTTAAGCCATGCCAGCCACAGTAACTTGGACCTAAATTGCAAGATGTTGCTCCTCTTATTTGTTCTTTGGCCATGTACTCTAAAATTTCATTCATGGTGTCAAAAAAGAAAAAAAAAAAATAAAAAAAATACCCCACTACACTGTCTATACAGTTTTTCATTATTAATGTGATTTTTCACTCTTAGCATATCACATTGTTATTTGTCCAGCCACCAAGTGATCAATATTGTAATCACATTATAATATTCCTTCTAATTGGAACCAACAGGCATAGTGGGACACAATTTATTTCGCTTGTTTGAACCTGATTTTTAATGTATCGTGCCACTTCTCCACCAGCAAAGCCATTCTGTTATTCCTGTATGTTTTCTAGACTAGTATTATAGCTGCTTTAATTCCTTCTGCCTATTGGCATACTTACATTTATATAATTTCTAAGCATGCCCAGAACGAACAGGATGCTTCCAGAGTGCTGAATAAATTTAGAGCACTTCTTCATGGCTGATGAGGGGTGGTGTGCCAGCTCTGCCTACATTCCATAAGAGAGAAGCCAGGTCTAGTCCTGCAGCCATCAGAGCAGCACCAGCTAGGATGATGCCAGGTCCTTCCCATCTGGAAAGGAACACAATTTCACAAGCAAAATCCCATGCTATCATCACTGACATCATTCGAGAGATCCATTCTTGCTGTTTCCTGAACTGACAGTGTGAGAGGAGAAAGGATGAAGTCATTGGTTTTTGCACAGCACGGCATGCCCCATATCTGAGGTCAGGACCTGGATGGTTTAAAGCAAAGAGAAAGAGCTTTCCTCTCCTACCCTACAACCTAAGCAAAACCTCTCAACAGCGCAAACCAGCTTATTTTAATAATTTTTAACATGGCTGTTTTTCCTGAAGAGAGCCTACCTTTTCTCTTAAGAGTGAAATACAGTAAAAAACCCATATAATTTAACATTTATTATTCTTGTGAAAATACAACCCATTTTTAATAAGGCCTACTTGACATGAAAGCCAAGAGGTATTGGTAACTTTAAAAGGAGAACAAGCCCCTTCTTTGTCAGTGCGTTTCTGTGGTACAACCCAGAAATTCAACAGAAACCACCATCTCCATTTGGACCAGCCTCCTGATCACACAGGCTGTAACTTCTGGTTGATTTACAGTGTCTATCTTTTAGAAAGATACCCACATTTAAACACTTCCTTATGGACAGTCCACTAAAATACTTTAGCAATTTTCCAGTAATTACCCTCGCTAACTTATTTTCCATTTGCTCCCAGGTTAAATTTGATTAGCTTTGAATGTCCCGTGTTTAGATTTTGTCAACCCTCTTTGCCAAAGAACCCTTAAGTAAGCTTCTGCTCCAATACATACTTAAAAAATTAAGATCAAACCATCTCTAGTCTTTTTTTTTTTTTTCTGGACAGACCAAGTTATGATCCTCTCCTGCTGTTGCACTGAGGAAAAGAAGTGAGAAGCTAAAAGAACCAGAGCACAATCAAAGTGGGAATGAAGACAAACAGCGATGACACCAGAGTTGGTTTTCTCTTGTTTTCCTGAGGCAAGTACTGTCCCAGTGTCTTGTGATGCTGTGAGATGTGGAACACAACCAAACCCTCCAGCCACTTCAGTAAGTCCTTCAGGTATTAAAGCCAAAACCGACTCATGGGTGTGCCAACTTTATTAGCAATGATTCAAACAATAGAAGCTTTTTGCATGTCTGAGCAAAAGATTATTCGAAGACTTAAATCCAGATCAAAGACATGGACATCTTTGTTTTACTATTAACTGTTTGGCTATTAATAATTGCTTATATGATTCCACAAGCTAATTGACATAGGATAGGATAGGATAGAATAGAATAGAATGGAATAGAATAGAATAGAATTTTTAACATTAAACATTCTTTTAGTAAAACACCTGCAAAGCAGACATGCTTCTGCATTCAAGGAAACTAGTAAGGAACCAGGCAACTTCACAGAGCAGATTCTGGATATAAAAAGAATCCCACAGGATCTCATTTCCCCCAGTCCTACAGCACTTGCACAGGTGAACAGGACACCTCCATTCCACAGTCCATCTTTTGAATAAAGAAGGCATCTTTCAGCTGCTGAAGCCACACACAAGCCAAGTCAATAGTAGACTTTTTTGAACCTGTCAAGACACTCAAAAATACAGTCCCATACCTCCTTCTTTGGGCTTTGAAAGGAGAGTAGTGACTTTGCAGTCTTCCTTTGTTGCTCTGATCATCATACAAGTAGCCTGATGAGACTTCAGTAATAAAGCAAATTCAAAAGCATATCTGGAAGGCCTGACTGGTGATTTTGGCTTACAATTTCAGATTGTAACTGGACAAACAAGCACAGTGATTTCACCTGTGTTTCTCTAACAGACATCATACATTCGATAGAGCATAACTAGATTCCAAGAGACCATCTGCTGATGTCACTAGGACTTTTCTCAAAGTAAGGGCTAAATAGGAACACAAGACTGACCCAAGGAGCAAAAGCTGCAGATGAATTTAAGTAGGAATTGATGACTATAAAATATGTAGACTTGAGGAAAGACAAAAAAAAAAGGAAAAAAGAAGGTGGTAGAATATGGTTGGAAGCATACACCAAATGACAGAAATGTACCACAATAAACAAAAGAAGCTTAAGCCTGTTCCCAGTAGCAAAATATAAAGTGTACTTTCTTTCCTATCAGTCATGCTATAGCAACCAATAAATCAAAGCAGATAAAATGTCATACAAGATCTGCACTGATTTATTTCTTTGATTTGTTACTTTTTAGAAAATAGCCATCCACAAATAAACCCAAATCAAGTCTGCTATTGCTCTTCATCAGCAGGAGGGCGGAATGTAAGATTGGGAGTTTTTCAGATGTTATTTCCCTGCAATGCCGGTGGTCTTAGGTTCCTGCCCTTTTTAAACTCTTTGCACAAGCCAGACCAGCATAACAGAGACTGGGAAGAATTAACACCATTACAATAGTAAGAGTCCAGAGCATTGGCTACAGCTAAAGAAATGGATTATATTTCCAAGTCACATTGAATAACAAGAATATTTCATGGCAATGTGTAGAATCAGTTTAAACAAAAACCACCAGTCACCATAAAGTTGTCTACTGACTGGATGAAAATGTAACACATAAGAACATGAAATTTAGCTAAGCAAAAAATGCATAACCAGGGCTTTTGAAAACCTTCTTTAAGACCAACAGTTAATTTACAGAGCACGGAGATACTGCATTTATCTGTTAATTATCTGCTTATGAAAGCTTGATTCTGCTTGACTTCAGCATATGCAATTCCCACCAACAACAGTGCAGAGCTGTGAGCATACACTGAAAGGACAGGCAGTATTGTAAATAAAATATTGATAGAAAAGTTCAGCTTTCTAATCATTTTCCCCCTCAAGATACTAAGTTTTATGAAATTCTTTAATTGCTTATATTTATTCTTGGATATATGGCAGGTTTAAGGACTGTAAAAATATAAAACTAAGGAAATTAAACTCTTGAGCATAAACCATGTGTGCCAAGGTTGTAAGAATGATGTAAAAGATAACCACTGTGTACCAGTGCCTTACAGTATCACCATAATTTTGGGGCTGTCGCTTGCTAAGTATGTACTTCTTTCTAACAGCACATGCAGGTTATGTGAAGCAGCACTGCTTGTTACGTGCACTATATGACTCTAAAACTGCCATTTTATCCTGATTAAAATGCAACATCAGAAAAATTTGTTGTCACACTCTGTATTCCTAGACCTAAAATGATGGGCACTGAAATACGGATGTGCCTTATCACTGCTGCATGCACTGATGTCTTGGAACAAAGATGAAAGAATATCGAAATTATGTTTCAAATTCCTGGCATCCTAAACTGTAACTTTCTTCTCCACATTGTACAGGTTTACGTTTTAGGCAGATGGGATTCTGGCTTTTCTGTTTCAATTCATGCAAACTGCATATTTTCACAAGATTTATCTTAAGGTGTTTGACAAGATTTGATAAAACATCAGTAATTTCATCTTATTAATTATTCACAAATATTTTAATGACATTTCATTTAGGTGATTACTGATAGAAACTCATAACCTGACACTTCATTTTTGCAGTAATACAAAATTAAGCACCAAATGATTAATAATAATTAATTAACAAAGATTACATCATGCTTATGTTTTCAAAGGCTATTTAGAGGACATTCATACCGTCCCAACAGATATGTTTGGTTTACTCAGTTTGTTCAGAGGGCACCAGTAACTGACCCAGGTTTGGGGTTGGGCCACTCAGAAATGTACTGGCAAGCCTTCTCAGAATTTTTCTTCTATCCTTATCTTACACAAGCATCCTAATCATGTCATATTACCACTAAAAGCTAGACTATACTGAATTATTTTCAGCCCAACAAGCAGAAATAGGTGACAAACTACTCATCAGGACATTCTTAAGTCCTCTCTAAATGTATGCCTGTTCTAAACAGATTTCCATATTCAAACTGCTGATCATTTTTTATGCCTGTGGAAAGCTTCTGTCAATCCAGTGTATGGATAGTCCAGACAACCAACATAGAACAGGAAACAGTGAACACCACTGTGAAAGCTGGGAGAATAAAAATTGCATAAAGCCATATTAAATTGCTATCAGCCTAAAAACATTGCCAAATCTGGACTTGTATGCTACTTGCTCCAAATAAGGTAGTTTCTTCAAAAGGAAGGTTAAGCAGCAAATGCGGAAAGTTGACACAGGAATCCTCTGGTCTTACCACTACATCATCAGTGCCAGAGAAATGGTTTCACAACTGTCATGTCAGGAATATGAATGAATAATAGCTGTGTAGTCAGTAGAAGTGAGGCAAACCACAAAAGTGCCACATAAGAAGACAGATTCAGTGGAAAGCTTTTATTTTCATCATTTTCACAAAAATATTTGGGCTCTTTGGAAATTTCTTGGGGTTTGTTTCTTTTAAATACATAAAAAAATGTGCATCTCTTAGAACTACCTCTTCCTCTGATAATAAGAAACCTCAGACAACTTCAAATACACTATTCTAGTGATCACCTGCATCTAAGCAGGTATTACAACCTAATAATTAACTACATATATATATACACATATGCATATATGTAATGTAATTCTCACCATGTCCTCCCATCACCTTGTCTTCACCACTGCCTGGTCTAATCCTTTCTTGATCAGATAACTCATACTAGACTCCAGTCCCACAGGGGATGGGACCACCTTTGAGCTTTTCGTTCTGTCAGTGTTTACAGCACAGAAAATGCACTAGAAATAATAGTAACATTTCATTAAAATCATTTTCTATACTCCTAGACCACCCTGAGGGGAAAAATACTACAAATATTGAAATTCAGCATCAGACAAATGACATGCTTGCTTGTTCACATGCAAAGATTCACTGGATCTCTAAAGAAAATGCATCTGACAGAGGCCCTAAGCATCAGCAGGATCACCGCAAACACACCAGTTCGCCAAAGTCCTTGTAGAAGAGAGGGAAGTGAAAAGCTCCCTGTTCTGCTTTGTCTTTCTCCTCCCTGCTCTTCTTGACACCTCAGGCTTATTTTTTTCTGGATTAGACTTGGTGAGGCACAGCAAATCTTGCTGAGCTGCCTTGCTCGTTGCAGCCTCATGATTCCTTGGTGTGCTCTTAAGAGATCTCACCCTGGGTTTGAGGTCTCCCGGGCAGCTCACTACTGCCAGTTCTCCAGACAGGCTCCTAGGGCCAGGAGGGCAGACCACACAGGCTGCTGTGAGCACTGCCACAGCAAATATCGCCACTCTTGCAGCACACTGGATTCCCACGCCTGGGGAGCTGCTGGTCGCTTTTCATCCTTAGACCCTACCTCCGCAAAACATTTGTAAATAAAGAAGCACATACTTAACACACACTGCTGTGCCGCAAAACAACACGTTAAAGACTTTTTCAATCAGAGACTTAGTTGGAAGCAGGTTAAAGTTTCAAGCTTTTAAATTATTTTTTTTTTTGTGGAAAGATTAAAATTCAGAAAACAGAGAAAACGCCACAAGGAGAAAAAAATCCATTAAAATACACACAAAGACCCTTTTCGTCCAACCAGAGTATTGCAGTAATTATTTTAATACTGATTTAAATACTTAACTGGACATTGGGAACTGGTGTGAGTAGGCAGTTGGTCCAGTAAGCTTATCCACCTAAATTAAGCTTTAATTTGGGAAAATTTTGGCCATTCAGATGCATACCCTAAAAAGCTCTGGTTATACTGCAGGCTCAAAATAAATCAGTTCTTCATCTGTCCCAAGTACTCCTTGAACACCTTGGGTGAGCTGAAGGCAAGACTATTTGGTTTTTATTCCTGGCATTCGTAAGAGGAGACAAAAATCAAAATACTGATGTTACTTAACAATTTATGGTTTTACTTATCAAAGACTTAGAAGTACCTTATATTTGCTATATGAGGCCTTTCATTCTTATATATTTGTCTTATCATACACCACACATCATTTCACAGCTACAACAGCACATGGAATCCACAAATATCATAAACCATTGCTCTTTGTCTGCAAGCTGATGTGTGCCAACTACAGCATATAAGATAATGAAACACTTCACATATTATTGGCAAAGAATATGAGCTGTTAAGTATGGGACCTCACAGTCTTACAGCCAAACACCTGGCAAGGTTCAAATGAATTCCGCAGGTTTGGTAAAAGCTCATTTTTCGTCACTTATTCCGTGTCAGAGACATTTCGGTTGGGTTGTATAAAAGTCAAATATTTATAGTTCAGTGCCTGGGGAGGAGCATCTTTCCCATCAGCCTCCCCAAATGAAAAGCAACACAAAAAGCAACGTGTAACATTCTGCCAAAGTAAGCCTTCCTTGGACTGTGAAAAGATTTGGCAAGAACAGCATTCCACCACCAGCATTTTCTCTCCTGTTTTTGCCCACTCACTGAACCTAACCTGGATCAGCAGAACATCATTAAAAAGGTCTTTCTAAACACCTTCTGTTCAAAGCAAAACAGGAAGCTCTAAGTGAACCTGCTCATCTCTTCCCCTTTTCAGCCTGAGGAGTTCAGGAGACAGCCTGGATGGGCCTGGATGGGTCTCAGAGAACTTAAAGATGACTTCTGGAATATTCAACCAAACAAATCCCAAATTTCAAAAGTGTTGAAGCCTAAGCACCTGTATGAGCATTTCTTCAGTGAAGCTTTTTCTCTAACTTAAGAATGAATGCTACAAGGCTCCTTCATATATATTGACAGTCTGCAATTTGGACAGCCCTCTTTGCAGGAGCAAGTGGTTTGAAATACCCATTTGACTTCAGAAAGTCTGGTGAGTGCTTAACACAGGTTTTGTTTGCCAAATGCATACTAACCTATATGAAAAGCATTCATTTTCCAAACCAAACATTTCCAAGTCCATGGTATATTTTGCTGCACAGGTATGCTCACTCATAGCCCGCTGTCACCTTGAAAGCAGCACACATACCCATGTTGACAGGAAAAAATTCTGAGAGATCTCAGCTCATCTGCCACTACAGTAGCTTGTAATGCTGTCCTGGGAATCCGCTTTTCATAGTTTTATGATTTTAAGACATAACCTTGTACAGCATAATGCACCCTGTCAATGCTAATATCACAAAATCTCTTAGAGATGGGACACTAATGGATAGGAGATGCACAGAAGAACTGAATGGATCCATAGCGATCCAACGAACTCAATGCTCC